CGAAAGGCTCTAGATCCAAGAGATTGGAGCTCTCCTCCTTTTCCCCTGAATCAAACCCGATTAATTCCCACTCTCATTGCCCTGGGTGGGTCCTTGCGGGTTTGGCTCTTCTCTGCAACCTCTCACACACCCCGGTTGTCGTGACCAAGAACCGCAGGGGTTCCGGGTTCGATATCCGCGCGGGTGAGACGTGAAGCCAGGTCACCTTGAACCTGCTGCTCCTGTTCACCTAGCAGTAAGTATAGGTGTCGGGGTTCTAGTCGACTGTTGTGGATCGCAGCCTGGAGAGGGGTGAGCTGAGGTAGGATAGTAACTGTTACCTTGTACAGTGAACTGTGTAAAAGTCAAGACAGCTTGTGAGCACACACACACACACACACACACACACACACACACACACACACACACACACACACACACACAGGGTTAGGGGAGACATGATAACGACATATAAAATACTGCGAGGAATTGACAGGGTGGACAAAGACAGGATGTTCCAGAGATGGGACACAGCAACAAGGGGACACAGTTGGAAGTTGAAGACTCAGATGAATCACAGGGATATTAGGAAGTATTTCTTCAGTCACAGAGTAGTCAAGAAGTGGAATAGCCTGGGAAGTGATGTAGTTGGGGCAGGATCATTACATAGTTTTAAGAAGAGGTATGATAAAGCTTATGGAGCAGGAAGAGTGACCTAGTAGCGGCCAGTGAAGAGGCGAGGCCAGGAGCTGTGAATCGACCCCTGCAACCACAACTAGGTGAGTACACACACACATAAACCCATTTCTTCAGTCAGAGTTGTCAGGGAGTGAAATAATCTGGAGAGTAATGTAGTGGAGGCAGGAACCATACACAGCTTTAACAAGAGATACGATAAACGCTCATGAAGCAGGTAGAGAGAGAGAGAGAGAGAGAGAGAGAGAGAGAGAGAGAGAGAGGAGAGAGAGAGAGAGGAGAGAGAGAGAGAGAGAGAGAGAGAGAGAGAGAGGAACTAGTAGCAACGACAAGCGACCAGCAACCAGCAGCAGGAACTATCATTCAACCTCCTGCAGCCACAAACATTCGAGAACATCAAGACGGAAGGTAAATAAAACACACAACTTATTTCGTATTCTACTCAGAAGACGACACCGACTTTACAGCTTTATAAAAGTGTTAAAGATACTTAATATATCATACGTGTCACACCAGACACTCACATACGCTTACTTAGTAAAAAATAACTGCTCAATGTCCTCTGGCTTCACACGTAGCGGATCTCCCACTGTTGAAAGACACAGTCACAATGTACACAGGATAATGTACACAATGTTACAGTATACACATGACAATTTACATGGGATTATAATGTTGACTAACAGTTGATAAACATGTTGTTCTGAGTAGGTGAGGTGCATGACCACATCATGTTGTCTAGTAGCTAGTGAGACCGCATAGTGACTCTCTCATGTTGTCTAGTAGCTAGTGAGACCGCATAGTGACTCTCCTCTCTCTCTCTCTCTCTCTCTCTCTCATGTTGTCTAGTAGCTAGTGAGACCGCATAGTGACTCTCTCTCTCTCATGTTGTCTAGTAGCTAGTGAGACCGCATAGTGACTCTCTCTCTCTCTCTCTCTCATGTTGTCTAGTAGCTAGTGAGACCGCATAGTGACTCTCTCTCTCTCTCTCTCTCATGTTGTCTAGTAGCTAGTGAGACCGCATAGTGACTCTCTCTCTCTCTCTCTCTCATGTTGTCTAGTAGCTAGTGAGACCGCATAGTGACTCTCTCTCTCTCTCATGTTGTCTAGTAGCTAGTGAGACCGCATAGTGACTCTCTCTCTCTCTCTCTCTCTCTCTCTCTCTCTCTCTCTCTCTCTCTCTCTCTCTCTCTCTCTCTCTCTCTCTCTCTCTCTCTCTCTCTCTCTCTCTCTCTCTCTCTCTCTGTCTTCTCTCTCTTCTCTCTCTCTCTCTCTCTCTCTCTCTCTCTCTCTCTCTCTCTCTCTCTCTCTCTCTTTGTTAAAGAGATTCACTTGTTCTTGGAAATGGAGATAAAAAAGCAGGTTTAGCTTTGTGTATAGAGCTTGATAAAGCTCTGTGTATAGAGCTTGGTAAAGCCGTGTATAGAGCTTGGTAAAGCCGTGTATAGAACCTGATAAAGCCCTGTGTACAGAGTTTGATAAAGCCCTGTGTATAGAGCTTGACAAAGCTCTGTGTATATAGCTTGATAAAGCTCTGTGTATAGAGCTTGGTAAAGCCGTGTATAGAACCTGATAAAGCCCTGTGTACAGAGTTTGATAAAGCCCTGTGTATAGAACTTGATAAAGCTTTGTGTGTAGAGCCTGATAAAGCCCTGTGTACAGAGTTTGATAAAGCCCTGTGTACAGAGTTTGATAAAGCCCTGTGTACAGAGCTTGATAAAGCTTTGTATATAGAGCCTGATAAAGTCCTGTGTATAGAGCTTCATAAAACACTGTGTATAGAGCTTGACAAAGCCCCGTCTATAGAGCTTGATGAAGGCCTGTGTATAAAGCTTTGTGTGTAGAGCCTGATAAAGCCCTGTGCACAGAGTTTGATAAAGCCCTGTGCACAGAGCTTGATAAAGCCCTGTGTACAGAACTTGATAAAGTCCTGTGTATAGAGCTTGATAAAGCCTTGTGTATAGAACTTAATAAAGCCCTGTGTATAGAGCTTGATAAGGCCCTGTGTATTGCGCTTGATAAAGCTTTGTGTATAGAGCCTGTTAAAGCCCTGTGTATAGAGCTTGATAAAGCCCTGTGTATAGAGCTTGATAAAGCTTTATATATAGAGCCTGATAAAACCCTGTGTATAGAGCTTTATAAACCCTGTGTATAGAGCTTGACAAAGCCCTGTCTATAGAGCTTGATGAAGCCCTGTGTATAAAGCTTTGTGTGTAGAGCCTGATAAAGCCCTGTGTACAGTGTTTGATAAAGCCCTGTGTATAGAACCTGATAAAGTTTGACGAAGCTTTGTGTGTAGAGCCTGATAAAGCCCTGTGTACAGAGTTTGATAAAGCCCTGTGTATAGAACCTGATAAAGCTTTGTGTGTAGATCCTGATAAAGCCCTGTGCACAGAGTTTGATAAAGCCCTGTGTACAGAGTTTGATAAAGCCCTGTGTATAGAACCTGATAAAGCTTTGTGTGTAGATCCTGATAAAGCCCTGTGTACAGTGCTTGATAAAGCCCTGTGTACAGTGTTTGATAAAGCCCTGTGTATAGAACCTGATAAAGTTTGATAAAGCTTTGTGTGTAGAGCCTGATAAAGCCCTGTGTACAGAGGTTGATAAAGCCCTGTGTATAGAACCTGATAAAGCTTTGTGTGTAGATCCTGATAAAGCCCTGTGCACAGAGTTTGATAAAGCCCTGTGTACAGAACTTGATAAAGCCTTGTGTATAGAGCTTGATAAAGCCCTGTGTACAGAGCTTGATAAAGCCCTGTGTACAGAGCTTGATAAAGCCCTGTGTACAGAGCTTGATAAAGCCCTGTGTACAGAGCTTGATAAAGCCTTATACAGAGTGCGAAACGTTGAATTAAAGGTACTCCGGGAGCGTGTGTATGTCAGGCTTCAGAGTCGTGGATTAACTCTGTCATCCGTCCTGTCTTCTGGATTATCATAACAGTTATTCGACTTGTTTATCCCTAGTTGGATTAATTAACTTTTGGCACCAGCAGGCTGTTAATATTATCTTCTTTTATTAAGGAAATCTATCTTAAATCTATTTTAAATCTTATATATTGGCCCTTGTTTAATCTACCCTTTCCGAGAGGCACCTTTTTGAAAAGGGCACCTTGTCAAAATACTCCCAAAATCCAAGGTTATCAGAAGGACTTGGCTCTTTCTGATATAAAATTATTACAAACCATTTCCCTCCTTCCCCCCGGGTGCTCTGTAGATTCTACCCCTGTGGCTTTAGTGCTCTCCTCCTTTCCATTGGTAAATATATTAACACTGTTCTGAAGGAATGAGAGGCTGGGATGACATGGCCGAGATTCAGGACTCCACCACAGGTTCTTCTCTCTCTCTCTCTCTCTCTCTCTCTCTCTCTCTCTCTCTCTCTCTCTCTCTCTCTCTCCTCTCTCTTCTTTGAGGCAGCAGTCGTATGCTATTTCAATTTATTAGTAAAAAATTTTGAAGTGAGAAATTTTATCGCACATTTTCCCCTGAATACTAAAATATTTCTCAGCTGTGTTTGGTAAAAATGTGATACATGTTTAATATAGAATTCTTTAAGCAGTTTTCAGTGTTGCTTCAATATGTTTCTCAGCTCAAGATCTTTCGCACTCTGGTGCGTTGTCAGGAGCTATGCAATGTTGATGTCTTGCAACATTGCACAGCTCCTGACGACGTATGAGAATGCGAAATTTCTTGAGCTGAAGATTTCCATCCCCATGTGGCTTGTTCCACATTAAGATCATAAGATCGCTGGTTAATGGGGTTTCAAGCTTATCGACTACATGAGGGTCATGAAGGCTGCGTGTCACCTGTTCACCTCCAGACTCCAATATTTTAATCCCTAAAACGGGGATTAATGTAAACTTTCAGTGTATATACACTGAGAAACATGCTGCTCTCAGTGCATATATCCTGTTAGACCGACAGTTGGCAATAATAAGCCAGAAGTAACATGACTGATACAAGAGTCAAATTATACAGTCACATACACACACACACACACACACACTTGTGTATATTTAATCTGCAGTCTTCAAGGTGCCTTGATGCCGGTGAGGGGGGCTCTTGATCCAAGGAATTGGGGGAGCGGGAGACGACCGTCCTCTTTCTCGCACCAAACATAACTGTCTCTCATTCTCCATGCGCCGCATGACCACGCGGTTTTAGAGCTCTCCCACGGCTACAACAACGTCTCAACCATCACAATTTTCCCAGTCCTTAGCACCAGTTTATAAGACTTTTGTAAACAATAACAACAACAGCAACAACAACAAATGCTATCACTCAATTCATTTTTGTAAAAAAATCTATTATTTGAGGAATCTTTTCTGATATATCATTTATTTAGACTTGTAATAACTAACAAATGGGATTTTTTTGGGATCCACTGTCTTTTTTTTTTTCACTCGGTGAAGAGAATCGAAAAAATATTTCGGACAGTCTGTAAGCTTCACATGAACATTTTTTCGCCACTACTACACACACACACACACACTGGACATTATCCATGAATCTTCTGCCACGTCAAACACTCATCGCTAGGGACAAAAAAATATATATATGTACAAATATATACACAAAGTGGGTACATCCTATCATGGCGCCTTGGGCTGCATCCCGCCCCAACATCGCGACACAACTGTCAGTGTTTACGCATATATCAGCATGTTGGTGGCTAACGTATGTTGTGAGTATGTTGAAAAAACTCCACTGTCTTTGTTTACATCAGTGGGTTATTCTTCAGATAGGTGAATCATTCTTCAGGTCAGTGAATCATTCTTCAGGTCAGTGAGTCAGTTTTCAGGTCAGTGAACCATTCTTCAGGTCAGTGAGTCAGTTTTCAGGCCAGTGGTTCATTCTTCAGGTCAGTGAGTCAGCTTTCAGGTCAGTGAATCATTCTTCAGGTCAGTGAATCATTCTTCAGGTCACTGGTTCAGTACAAAGATAGGGGGAGAACGAGCCTAGCACAGTCTCCATGGCAGGAGACTCACAGTTAAAGGACAATGGATGAAACTGCTGCCAAGACATGTGCTTCAGTTTTGCCATTGAACGTCTGATGTCACCTTACAGACGGACCTTGAATATGTCAGCGATCAGCAGTGACATCAGTGGCTCACTGACCCTCAGTGCTGAAGGTTCGTCTTCTTGTGGCTTCTTACGGAGGTGACTGTTTAGCCAGTGAGAGAGAGAGAGAGGAAGAGCTTGGCTTCTGAGATGTAGTGGCTCTCATCTCTAGCCATGGTTTAAGTGGTTGTTATGGCTGACGTTGGTTGACGCGGTTGCCGTGGTTATTGCGGCTGTCGTGGCTATGTTTGCGAAGGATGCCATGGTCGTAGAGCATCCCTGCATCTGTCCGCCTCTCGGAATACACTCCAACGTAGTAAACTGTTCCCGCGGGCCACTGACTCACAGTCTCAAGGGCCATTGACGCACGGTGTCGAGGGCCACTGGCCCACTGTCTCGAGGTTTACTGATCCACGGTCTCGTGGTTCACTGACCCACGGTCTCAAGGCCCACTGACCCACGATCTCCAGGGCCAGTGACCTACGATCTCGAGGGCAAGTGACCCACGGTCTCGAAGCCCACTGACCCACGGTCTCGAGGGTCACTGACCCACAGTCTCCAGGGCCACTGACCCACAGTCTCCAGGGCCACTGACCCACAGTCTCGAGGGCCACTGACCCACAGTCTCCAGGGCCACTGACCCACAGTTTCCAGGGCCACTGACCCACAGTCTCCAGGGCCACTGACCCACAGTCTCCAGGGCCACTGACCCACGGTGTCGAGGTCCCCGGCAGTCTTGAGTAGTCACTTCGGGTGCGCCTTCGTCTGGAAACAAGAAAGAGCAGTGGTCAACAGCCTGGAACTGATCTTCAGGTTTACGTGAGATAATTACTCTCCAGAACTCTGGCTACCAGCCTCCTCCTCCTCCTTGAAGTTCCTCCACAAACATCTTAAACTTTCTCACTATTTCTTTAAAGAGGAATAAAAATAATAATAATTATAATTACAAATAATAATAACAATAAAATATAATTAATATATAATTAATAATAATAATTACAATTAATAATAAGTAGTAAAAATAATTATAATTAATAATAATATAACAATTAGTAATAATGATTATAATTAGTAATAATTATAATTAATATAATTAGCAATAATAATTATACTTAATAATAATTATTAATAGTAATAACAATATTTATAACAATAATGATAATAATCAGTAGCAGTGCTGAAGAGATTTGATACACCGTTGTTAAATCAGACCTTGATTACGTGACGTAGTATTGAACCTCCCACGTGGGTTTAGTGCTCAACAGAATGTAATTATTGCATTCCAAAAGTACAAACTACAGCATGTATCACTGGTACAAACTACAGCATGTATCACTGGTACAAGCTACAGCATGTATCACTGGTACAAGCTACAGCATGTATCACTGGTACAAGCTACAGCATGTTCACTGGTACAAGCTACAGCATGTATCACTGGTACAAGCTACAGCATGTATCACTGGTACAAGCTACTGCATGTATCACTGGTACAAGCTACAGCATGTATCACTGGTACAAGCTACAGCATGTATCACTGGTACAAGCTACAGCATGTATCACTGGTACAAGCTACTGCATGTATCACTGGTACAAGCTACAGCATGTATCACTGGTACAAGCTACAGCATGTATCACTGGTACAAGCTACAACATGTATCACTGGTACAAGCTACAACATGTATCACTGGTACAAGCTACAACATGTATCACTGGTACAAGCTACAGCATGTATCACTGGTACAAACTATAGCATGTATTACTGGTACAAACTACAGCATGTATCACTGGTATAAACTACAACACGTATCACTGGTACAAGCTACAGCATGTATCACTGGTACAAACTACAACATGTATCACTGGTACAAGCTACAACACGTATCACTGGTACAAACTACAGCATGTATCACTGGTACAAACTACAACATGTATCACTGGTACAAACTACAGCATGTATCACTGGTACAAACTACAACATGTATCACTGGTACAAACTACAACATGTATCACTGGTACAAACTACAGCATGTATCACTGGTACAAACTACAACATGTATCACTGGTACAAACTACAGCATGTATCACTGGTACAAACTACAACATGTATCACTGGTACAAACTACAACATGTATCACTGGTACAAACTACAGCATGTATCACTGGTACAAACTATAGCATGTATCACTGGTACAAACTACAACATGTATCACTGGTACAAACTACAACATGTATCACTGGTACAAACTACAAGCATGTATCACTGGTACAAAAATATAGCATGTATCACTGGTACAAACTACAATATGTATCACTGGTACAAACTACAACATGTATCATTGGTACAAACTACAGCATGTATCACTGGTACAAACTACAGCATGTATCACTGGTACAAACTACAATATGTATCACTGGTACAAACTACAACATGTATCACTGGTACAAACTACAACATGTATCACTGGTACAAGCTACAGCATGTATCACTGGTACAAACTACAACATGTATCACTGGTACAAGCTACAACATGTATCACTGGTACAAACTACAACATGTATCACTGGTACAAACTACAGCATGTATCACTGGTACAAGCTACAGCATGTATCACTGGTACAAGCTACAGCATGTATCACTGGTACAAACTACAACATGTATCACTGGTACAAACTACAGCGTGTATCACTGGTACAAGCTACAGCATGTATCACTGGTACAAACTACAACATGTATCACTGGTACAAGCTACAACATGTATCACTGGTACAAACTACAACATGTATCACTGGTACAAACTACAGCATGTATCACTGGTACAAGCTACAACATGTATCAAATGGTACAAACTACAACATGTATCACTGGTACAAGCTACAAAAATGTATCACTGGTACAAGCTAACTGCATGTAAACACTGGTACAAGCTAAAAGCATGTATCACTGGTACAAGCTACAACATGTATCATGGTACAAGCTACTGCATGTATCACTGGTACAAGCTACAGCATGTATCACTGGTACAAGCTACAGCATGTATCACTGGTACAAACTACAACATGTATCACTGGTACAAGCTACAACATGTATCACTGGTACAAGCTACAACATGTATCACTGGTACAAACTACAACATGTATCACTGGTACAAGCTACAACATGTATCACTGGTACAAGCTACTGCATGTATCACTGGTACAAGCTACAGCATGTATCACTGGTACAAGCTACAGCATGTATCACTGGTACAAACTACAACATGTATCACTGGTACAAGCTACAACATGTATCACTGGTACAAGCTACAACATGTATCACTGGTACAAACTACAACATGTATCACTGGTACAAGCTAAACATGTATCACTGTACAAGCTACTGCATGTATCACTGGTACAAACTATAGCATGTATCACTGGTACAAACTACAGCATGTATCACTGGTACAAACTATAGCATGTATCACTGGTACAAACTACAATATGTATCACTGGTACAAACTACAACATGTATCACTGGTACAAGCTACAACATGTATCACTGGTACAAGCTACTGCATGTATCACTGGTACAAACTACAGCATGTATCACTGGTACAAGCTACAACATGTATCACTGGTACAAGCTACTGCATGTATCACTGGTACAAACTACAGCATGTATCACTGGTACAAGCTACAACATGTATCACTGGTACAAGCTACAACATGTATCACTGGTACAAGCTACTGCATGTATCACTGGTACAAGCTACAGCATGTATCACTGGTACAAACTACAGCATGTATCACTGGTACAAGCTACAACATGTATCACTGGTACAAACTACAACATGTATCACTGGTACAAGCTACTGCATGTATCACTGGTACAAACTACAGCATGTATCACTGGTACAAGCTACAACATGTATCACTGGTACAAACTACAACATGTATCACTGGTACAAACTACAGCATGTATCACTGGTACAAACTACAGCATGTATCACTGGTACAAGCTACAACATGTATCACTGGTACAAGCTACAACATGTATCACTGGTACAAGCTACTGCATGTATCACTGGTACAAGCTACAGCATGTATCACTGGTACAAGCTACAGCATGTATCACTGGTACAAGCTACAGCATGTATCACTGGTACAAGCTACAGCATGTATCACTGGTACAAGCTACAACATGTATCACTGTACAAGCTACAACATGTATCACTGGTACAAGCTACAACATGTATCACTGGTACAAGCTACAGCATGTATCACTGGTACAAGCTACAGCATGTATCACTGGTACAAGCTACAACATGTATCACTGGTACAAGCTACAACATGTATCACTGGTACAAGCTACAACATGTATCACTGGTACAAGCTACAGCATGTATCACTGGTACAAGCTACAACATGTATCACTGGTACAAGCTACAACATGTATCACTGGTACAAGCTACAGCATGTACCCTGGTAACAAGCTACAGCATGTATCACTGGTACAAGCTACAGCATGTATCACTGGTACAAGCTACAGCATGTATCACTGGTACAAGCTACTGCATGTATCACTGGTACAAGCTACAACATGTATCACTGGTACAAACTACAGCATGTATCACTGGTACAAGCTACAACATGTATCACTGGTACAAGCTACAGCATGTATCACTGGTACAAACTACAGCATGTATCACTGGTACAAACTACAACATGTATCACTGGTACAAGCTACAGCATGTATCACTGGTACAAGCTACAGCATGTATCACTGGTACAAACTACAGCATGTATCACTGGTACAAACTACAACATGTATCACTGGTACAAGCTACAGCATGTATCACTGGTACAAACTACAACATGTATCACTGGTACAAAACTACAGCATGTATCACTGGTAAAAAGCTACAGCATGTATCACTGGTACAAACTACAAAAATGTATCACTGGTACAAGCTACAGCATGTATCACTGGTACAAACTACAGCATGTATCACTGGTACAAGCTACAGCATGTATCACTGGTACAAGCTACAACATGTATCACTGGTACAAGCTACAACATGTATCACTGGTACAAGCTACAGCATGTATCACTGGTACAAGCTACAACATGTATCACTGGTACAAGCTACAGCATGTATCACTGGTACAAGCTACAGCATGTATCACTGGGACAAGCTACAACATGTATCACTGGTACAAGCTACAACATGTATCACTGGTACAAGCTACAACATGTATCACTGGTACAAGCTACAACATGTATCACTGGTACAAGCTACAGCATGTATCACTGGTACAAGCTACAGCATGTATCACTGGTACAAGCTACAACATGTATCACTGGTACAAGCTACAACATGTATCACTGGTACAAGCTACAACATGTATCACTGGTACAAGCTACAACATGTATCACTGGTACAAGCTACAGCATGTATCACTGGTACAAGCTACAACATGTATCACTGGTACAAGCTACAACATGTATCACTGGTACAAGCTACAGCATGTATCACTGGTACAAGCTACAACATGTATCACTGGTACAAGCTACAGCATGTATCACTGGTACAAGCTACTGGTATATCTTTCTGAACATACTTCAGACTTTCATATATAAGAACATAGCTGTGTATAACACGCACGGGTTTACCACTTCAGGAAAAGCAGAAGTTTACACAGTGCAAGAGAGTGCACCATAGTAGGGAATGTAGACCCGTGCACCCTGACACACCTTGAGTTGTGGTACTTCAGCACTGCAGGTGCTACTGGTGGTGGGGATGATCTGCCGTGCACCCGGCTGGGTCCTCTATCTGCGATGTACTTGAGTTCTTCCTTAGCTTCTGTTGTCGCTGCTGCTGCTTCCCTGCTTCAGGAGTTTTCTTAAGGATGGACTTTAGAGGTTCGGAGGAGGCTGCGGCATGTGCCTGCATCGCCGAGACTTCGGTGTAGGACTGCGGACTCCCACCATAGGACTTCTGGACTTTAACAGAGGAAGGCTTGGTGGAAGACACTGTTGTTCGTGCTGCAGACGGAGGCAGCGACGCAGGGACTGCTGGTAGACCGGCTACTACAGGGGGAGGAGGGGGAGGAATAATCTCTAGAGGAGGTGGTATGGCATCTAGAGGAGGCGGTAGGACCTCCAGAGGAGGTGGATGAGTCCCAAGGAGGTGTTGGAAGGACCCGATTTGCGGAAGAGGAGGTGGAGGAGCAGCACCCATTCCTCCATGTGTCTCTGGATGGTAGTCCAATCTGAGGAGAGACAGTGACTTAGATTACTGTGTGTATATTGATCGTAGTGGTGTGTGTGTGTGTGTGTGTGTGTGTGTGTGTGTGTGTGTGTGTGTGTGTGTGTTGTGTGTGTGCGCGCGCCTGCGCACACGCATCCCCTACACTCATTCATGCCGACAGAACCACTAAAGTTAAACACAAATTGCCCTCAGACAACATTAATAATAAACTTAAACAATGTAAGAATTATACAAAAAATCCGACATTGCCATAATCGGCCTAAAATATGACCTCGGGCTTAGCTGAAAATTATATAATTGCACATTAGAATGCAGCTTTACAGCGGCTGATGCAGCAATTTAAGGCCGTAAGTTATTTTAATGTTAGAGCCAGACACTGTTCTTACAGAAAATGAGGAGCAAACATGTTCCTTGTAAGTATCATTCTGCCTTAATACTCTGATGCATTGTTGCAAAGTCAACATTGTCATGCTAACACACCCAGACGACCTTTATTGCAAATTAAAACAAATATGCACTCATAAACACACGCGTGAGCTCTCACCCCCTCCCAGAGCACACACACACACACACACACACACACACACACACACACACACACACACACACACACACACACACAACACACACACACACACACACACACACACACACACACACACACACACACAGCTTCATCAACAGCACCATTCACAAGCTTCACAGGTGTTAACTAGAGTCGTGTATGTGACCTCCCTGGAGTCAGGAGACAATGGTCATCCCATCCCTCTGCATCGTCCCTCACTCACTCTATAATACCATTAGAACGTGTCTCTGCTGCCTGCTGGTGGATGTCCCGGTCTGTGCCTTGTCTCTGCAACCTGTCCAGTTAGTATCTGTCTCTGGCGTCCGCCGCACACACCCGTCTTCCACTATAATTGGCCCGGGTCGAGATGGAGTCTGCATATCCAGCTGCTCAGCTTTCCAGAATTTCTCTTATTTAACCTAAGTCACTACCAGTGACTTAGGTATTGTTGTGTTGTTGTTCAGGGAGACCAGCAACACACACTATCAGAAACACAACTTCGATAAAAGTTAAGAACTGTCAACTCTGAGAGGAAGATGGACAACATATATCATTAGCTCCCCCTCCCCCCCAAAAAAAAATCAATTAATATTTTTCAAATCATTACTCAGAGTTCGTAACAATGTTTTTTTTTCTGTTATATAGCTTTTTACCTTGAGTGTTCTTATGGATGGTCGTGTTTACATTTTATATTGAAAATTGCTTGTTTCATGCCAGCAAGCACTCTTTGAGACGTGTAAGTGTCTCTTTCAGACGTGTAAGTGTCTCTGAGACGTGTGTCTCTTTCAGACGTGTAAGTGTCTCTTTCAGACGTGTAAGTGTCTCTTTGAGACATGTAAGTGTCTCTTTCAGACGTGTAAGTATTTCTTTGAGACGTGTAAGTGTCTCTTTCAAACGTGTAAGTGTCTCTTTGAGACGTGTAAGTGTCTCTTTCAGACGTGTAAGTGTTTCTTTGAGGCGTGTAAGTGTCTCTTTGAGGCGTGTGAGTGTCTCTTTGAGACGTGTAAGTGTCTCTTTGAGACGTGTAAGTGTCTCTTTGAGACGTGTAAGTGTCTCTTTCAGACGTGTAAGTGTTTCTTTGAGGCGTGTAAGTGTCTCTTTAAGACGTGTAAGTGTCTCTTTGAGACGTGTAAGTGTCTCTTTGAGACGTGTAAGTGTCTCTTTGAGGCGTGTAAGTGTCTGACATATTCCCACCTTCACAACTTCCCCAACATTCTCACTGATTCTCGCTGCACAGATGCTGCACAATCCGGTAATAGAAGAGTCGCAGATGACAAACAGAAGGATGTAAGTGACAGCAGTCAAACACTGGATCATCCTCACCCTCCACACTATGTTTGCTCTCAGAGATGGTAATTCTGTGCTGATATTAACTCAAGGTCTGCTGGAAAGAATTTGCTTCTCAACTCACACTGGAACATCACTAAAACAATGGTATACAATACCGTCACGATGAAAAATAAGATACAGGTACAACAAATGGGAATTTTTATTTGTCCTCTTGTATATAATTCTGCGAGGCCGAGGGACTGATTGCCTCTTCTACAATCTTCGTCTTGCGTCTCTGTATTGTACTGATGAAAACCACTGGTTAATGATAGGTCTACCAACAAAAATACCCGGATGCTGCACAGGCGTCTTATTCGTCTCCAAAAATACGACCAACAACATCCTCTTCTGGCAGCTCAGGTGGACATATTTCATTATCAGAATACAAAATCTATCGTGATGGAATATGACAAAGATGCAACACATTACCATAGTTCCTTGATAATGTGAGAAGTCGCGAAAGCGCTTGGAATTTCACTATTCTTTCACAGTGGTTGTTTTGCATGTATAATATATATATATATAATAATAATTATATATATATATATATATATATATATATATATATATATATATATATATATATATATATATATATATATATTATATATATATGTATGTATGTATGTATATATAAGCCACGTCTTCGGCCCTGTGCTGTACATTCTACAAGTTTGATGGACTGAACACATCGACTCCAGGCTGAGGGACTGATTACCTCAAACTCCTCCTCTCCTTACACCTTCTGCTTTGTATTGGACTGATGAAGCCACTGTGTGGCGAAACGTTTCCTGAATAAAGATTCCCATATGTTACATAAGTGTCTCAATCTTCGACTTGTCGGTTTTTAAAACCATTCTTCACGTCACACCTCTCCTCGTAGAACATACTCCTTAGTTCCAGTTGATGTGCGCATCAAGAGATGTGCTCGGTATCATGCTCACCACAGGATCCTTCTCTTTGAGTAAGTTTTGCAGCCTTTGGCCTCTTAGGCTGTACACCGTCTGCGGTCTTCTTTGTCCTTCCCCAAACTTTATGACTTTGCACTTGCTGGGGTTAAACTGCAGGAGCTATTTGTTGGACCAGGCTTGCAGTCTGTCCAGATCTCCTTGCAGACTTACTTGATCCTCGTCCACGTTTGGTCTTCTCTTTAGCTTCACATCGTCAGCAAACAGGGACACCTCTGCATCTATCCCTTCTGTCATGTCATTCACATATACTAGAAACAGCACTGGACCCAAGACTGACCCTTGTGGAACCCCACTCAACACATGTACCCACTCTGCCACGTACCAATACACGTTGTTTCCTTCCTGTAAGGTATTCCCTGATCCATAACAGTACTTTCCCTGCTACTACTGCTGCTGCTCCTCTACCTTTTCAACCAGTCTCTTGGGTGGTACTGTGTCAAAAGTCTTCTTACAGTCCAAGAAGATGAAGTCTACCTATCCCTCTGTCTTATCCTTTTGTGTGTGTACTCACCCAGTTGTGGTTGTGGTTGCAGGGGTTGAGTCACAGCTCCTGGCCCCTGGCTCTTGGTGTGTGAGAGAGAGAGAGAGAGAGAGAGAGAGAGAGAGAGAGAGAGAGGAGAGAGAGAGAGAGAGAGAGAGCAGACACGGCAGCAGATTTTAGATACGATCCTGTCAAAGATGGACAATAAATTACCATTATTACACCTTCTTTTTAAACCCTAAGTTCAATTTCAACTAAAAAAAATGGTGAAGAAATCTATGAATATCATTAATATCTGAACCCAATTCCATTTTTTTTTCTTCTGTGACTCGTCTGCTGCTGAATTTAGAGAATTTATTGAGCGAATCAGTGAAAAGTTTTATGCTTGGAGGACTTTTCTGAAAGAAACTTTCTCTGTTGAGCTGCGTGGTGGACCTGAGTTGACGCAGGTGTTGAACCTGGGTGCTGCAGGTCCCAGACCTGTCTCTGGAGACCCCGTGAGCTGCGTGGTGGACCTGAGTTGATCCAGGTGTTGAACCTGGGTGCTGCAGGTCCCAGACCTGTCTCTGGAGACCCCGTGAGCTGCGTGGTGGACCTGAGTTGACGCAGGTGTTGAACCTGGGTGCTGCAGGTCCCAGACCTGTCTCTGGAGACCCCGTGAGCTGCGTGGTGGACCTGAGTTGATCCAGGTGTTGAACCTGGGTGCTCCAGGTCCCAGACCTGTCTCTGGAGACCCCGTGAGCTGCGTGGTGGACCTGAGTTGATCCAGGTGTTGAACCTGGGTGCTCCAGGTCCCAGACCTGTCTCTGGAGACCCCGTGAGCTGCGTGGTGGACCTGAGTTGATCCAGGTGTTGAACCTGGGTGCTCCAGGTCTCAGACCTGTCTCTGGAGACCCCGTGAGCTGCGTGGTGGACCTGAGTTGATCCAGTGTTGAACCTGGGTGCTCCAGGTCCCAGACCTGTCTCTGGAGACCCGTGAGCTGCGTGGTGGACCTGAGTTGATCCAGGTGTTGAACCTGGGTGCTCCAGGTCCCAGACCTGTCTCTGGAGACCCCGTGAGCTGCGTGGTGGACCTGAGTTGATCCAGGTGTTGAACCTGGGTGCTCCAGGTCCCAGACCTGTCTCTGGAGACCCCGTGAGCTGCGTGGTGGACCTGAGTTGATCCAGGTGTTGAACCTGGGTGCTCCAGGTCCCAGACCTGTCTCTGGAGACCCCGTGAGCTGCGTGGTGGACCTGAGTTGATCCAGGTGTTGAACCTGGGTGCTCCAGGTCCCAGACCTGTCTCTGGAGACCCCGTGAGCTGCGTGGTGAACCTGAGTTGATCCAGGTGTTGAACCTGGGTGCTCCAGGTCCCAGACCTGTCTCTGGAGATCTGTTGAGCTGCTTTGTAGACCTGAGCTAACCCAGGTGTTGAACCTGGGTGATCCAGGTCCCAGACTTGTCTCTGGAGACCTGTTGAGCTGTGTGGTGGACCTGAGCTGACGCAGGTGTTGAACCTGGGCGCTCCAGGTCCCAGACCTTTCTCTGGAGACCCCGTCTAATCCTGTCTGACATCATTTGACCTCTTTATCGACCTCACTGCTGACCTAGTGATTCCTCTACTGACCTGGTGACGTCACTACTGGCCTGGTGATGTCACTACTGACCCGGTGGCGTCACTACTGAACTGGTGACGTCATTACAGACCTGTTGACTTCAGTACTTACCTGGAGACTTCAATATTGACCTGGTGACCCCAGTACTACCTGCTGACTTTACTACTGACCTGGTGACCTTAGTATTAACCTGGTGGCCCCAGTACTGACCTGCTGATCTCAGTACTGACCTGGTAACCTCAGTACTGACCTGGAAATCTCAGCATTGACCTGCTGATCTCAGTACTGACTTGCTGACCTCAGTACTGACCAGGTGACCTCAGTACTGAACTGCTGACCTCAGTACTGACCGGCTGACCTCAGTACTGATCTGGTGACCTCAGTACTGACCTGGTGACCTCAGTACTGACCTGGAGATCTCAGTACTGACCTGATGACCTCAGTACTGACCTGGAGATCTCAGTACTGACCTGGTGACCTCAGTACTGACCTGGAGATCTCAGTACTGACCTGGCGACCTCAGTACTGACCTGCTGACCTCAGTATTGACCTGGTGACCTCAGTACTGACCTGCTGACCTCAGTACTAACCTGGTGACATCAGTACTGACCTGGTGACCTCAGTACTGACCTGCTGACCTCAGTATTGACCTGTTGACCTCAGTACTGACCTGGTGACCTCAGTACTGACCTGCTGACCTCAGTACTAACCTGGTGACATCAGTACTGACCTGGTGACCTCAGTACTGACCTGCTGACCTCAGTATTGACCTGTTGACCTCAGTACTGACCGGCTGACCTCAGTACTGATCTGGTGACCTCAGTACTGACCTGGTGATCTCAGTACTGACCTGGTGACCTCAGTACTGACCTGCTGACCTAAGCACTGACCTGGTGACCCCAATATTGATCTGGTGTCCTCAGTACTGACCTGGTGACCTCAGTACTGACCTGGTGACCTCAATATCGACCTGGTGACCTCAGTACTGACCTGGTGACCTCAGTACTGACCTGGTGACCTCAGTATCGACCTGGTGACCTCAGTACTGACCTGGTGACCTCAGTACTGACCTGGGTGCTGAGCCAGGGTGGTGCTGAGCCTCGTACGACTGCTTCATGTGGATGAGCTGCTGCTGAAGGCAGCGGTACTCGCGCAGGAACTTCTCCAGCTGCGCCGCGTGGTACTCGAAGCGGTACGGGTCCGCAGGAAGCTGGCCGCACCCCGCCGCACCTTCTCCGCTCCCGCACTGGCTCCTGCGGGAGGGTACAGTGTAGTGGTACAGTGATGGAGAGAGAGAGAGAGAGGAGAGAGAGAGAGAGAGAGAGAGAGAGGAGAGAGAGAGAGAGAGAGAGAGAGGAGAGAGAGAGAGAGAGAGAGAGAGAGAGAGAGAGAGAGAGAGAGAGAGAGAGAGAGAGAGAGAGAGAGAGAGAATGAATTATAAATAACAACATAAAAGTAATGATATGCAGCAATGAGTACAGGAAGCTTGTTGCAAGACCTGACCTGACCTGACCTGACCTGACCTGACCTGACCTGACCTGACCTGACCTGACCTGACCTGACCTGACCTGACCTGACCTGACCTGACTTGACCTGACTTGACCTGACCTGACTTGACCTGACCTGACCTGATATGACCTGACTTGACCTGACCTGACCTGACCTGACCTGACCTGACTTGACCTGACTTGACCTGACCTGACCTGACCTGACCTGACCTGACCTGACCACAGTGTTGTATCATGAAGACAATACTGAATAAATTAATACATTGCTAATTTTTTTGTAAATTACACTCACACAAGCACCTTAAGTCGGTACATGACCAGCCAGGCTGTGGCTCGTACGTTGGATTGCGTGCAGCCAGTAATAACAGCCTGGGTGATCAGGTCCTGATCCACCATGAGGCCTGGTCACAGACCGGGCCGCGGGGGCGTTGACCCCCGGAACTCTCTCCAGGTAAACACACACATACATACATACATATATATATATATATATATATATATATATATATATATATATATATATATATATATATATATATATATATATATATATATATATTTATATATATGTCGTGCCGAATATGTAAAACTGGTCAATTAGCATGAACTCATTTAAAATTAAGTCCTTTCTAAAATTTTCTCTTATACGTTTAAAGATATATTTTTTTCAACAATGTTAATGTAAAAATTTATAATTTTGCACCAAAAGAATCTTAGGAAACTTACCTAACCTTATTATAACAAGAACAATTTATTTTAGCTTAACCCAACTATATATATTTTAGATTTGTTTACAATAATTTAATACTAAACAAACACAGTGAAATATGTTTTTTTCGTTAGGTTCAGAATGATTTTGGCGAAATTATTGCATACACAAATTTTCACTTGTCCTATATGGCAAGATGAACGTTGCTATTTAAGCCAAGATCGCAAGTTCTGCCTATTCGGCACGACATATATATATATATATTTTATATATATATATATATATATATATATATATATATTATATATATATATATATATATATATATATATATATATATTTATATATTTTATTTATTTATTTATTTATTTATTTATTTATTGGCAATGGGGTTGGACATGGGTTGGCAATGTGGTTGGACATGGGTTGGCAGTGTTGTTGGACATAGGTTGGCAATGGGGTTGGACATGGGTTGGCAATGGGGTTGGACATGGGTTGGCAATGGGGTTGGACATAGGTTGGCAGTGTTGTTGGACATAGGTTGGCAATGGGGTTGGACATGGGTTGGCAATGGGGTTGGACATGGGTTGGCAATGGGGTTGGACATAGGTTGGCAATGGGGTTGGACATAGGTTGGCAATGGGGTTGGACATGGGTTGGCAATGGGGTTGGAAATGGGTTGGAAGTGTTGTTGGACATAGGTTGGCAATGGGGTTGGACATGGGTTGGCAATGGGGTTGGACATAGGTTGGCAATGGGGTTGGACATAGGTTGGCAATGGGGTTGGACATGGGGGGAGCGCGGCATTGTATTATTCTCTTCGAAGAGAAGAATATCCTTCATAATTACGGAAATAAT